CACGGCTTTCAACGTCCCCCCGTCCCCCCCCCCCCCCCCCCCGTCTCAAATTCCTAGCAAAATAATCCCTGTCGTCAAGGAACATCGACACCACCATCAATGTCTTGAAAGAAATTGCTATATTAGAGAGCTACACCGTTTGCTATCTCACTTTCAGATACCAATTTTAACAGAAAGGATACACTTAGATAAGACAGGGCCACTACTATTCAAGTTTACATAGTTCTTCTCTAAGTCATACTACGCAGCGGTGGGCTTTGTGAAAAGCTGCTGGATTCGGACTCCGAAGCCATGGGTGCTGTGTCTAATTTCAGTGCCTTGAACTTGAGCAAGTCAGCACTTCCCCTGGTTCAGGAATGTCCTTCTCTGTAAAATGGCCCTGAATTCTAAGGCTTGTCCAGCTCTCACATTGGCTTCCATTTCAATGAAATATTAACCTAATTAATAAATGTTTGTTGAATGAATGAAGAACCCATATCTCTCTAGGAACTATGGACTCTCTTGATATTGGAAATATGCAAAAACAAATGCCCCTTTGCTAGGAAAGGAAGCCTGATTGTGCTCGCATTGCATGTCTTTGCTGGTCTCTAAGGATGCCCCCCAGGACTGCTCCTCTCAAGGCTGCCTTATGGCACATAGGGAAGGGAAACCTGAGGTCCCAGAAGGAGAGGATCTTGCTAAAGGCCTATAAAGGATAAGGGAGCGGTGTGTGGAAGTTCCTGATGCCTGGTGTAAGGCATAAGGCTTTTCTTGGAAGCGGGTGGGGGAGAAGTGAGAAAGCTCCAGAAAAATGCTCAGGAGATTCCCAGAGCCACAGGTTGCCTTAGTGCCTAAGTTCATAAGCTACCCCAATTCTTGGGAAGAAAGGAATTTGTATAAGCTGAATGAGTGAGCGATCCTAGGACCTGGACTTGCCAGGGAAGGAGGAGGGGACATTGGAGTGCAGGGTTGTGTTCTCAAGTGGCTCACTTTGCCTATGTGGTCATCTAGCCCATATAGGGCTAGGCAAGGAGACTTGGTGTAGACCCTGCGACGGTCACCATCTGGGACTGAAGAGGCAGGGAAAGCCAGCCCAAGTGTTTTGCGGACAGGCACATCATTTGGCCAAGTCCTTTTCCCACTCTGGTTCCTTCCCTGCTTTTCCTGACTTAACTCCTCCTTTGCACCAGAGGCAGTCCATGGCCCTTCCAGGCAACAGCAGACATTATTTACACCTTGCAAATGGACTCCACACTGAGAGACACCTGGATCCAGGAGGCTGTAAAATAATTAAGGAGAACGGAGATAATGAAGGCAGTAAGCCAACGCCTAGCCTTTAGTAATGCTCCGGAAAGGTCATTTGAACCCAGATTGAACGTCAGTGCTGGGAGGGCTTACAAATCTACCCCCTTTAGCGAATGGACACAGGAGGATGCAGAAACTAGTGGCAAGCCTGGCAGCAAAGCTAGATCAGAACTCGGCTACACTGACTCTCTTTCCCAGGAGCCAGTCTCCCTGCCCAGCTCTCCTCTGTTCTCCCAGGCCTGCTGGCCCTGCAGCCTGGAGAGCTCAACCGCCTTCCCTGGGCTCCTACTCCTAGCTGAGGCTCAGTCTGGCAGTGCCTTCCTGACACCCACTTCTCTTCTCCTTCCTGCAGGCAAAAAGCACACGTTTAAACCTAATTATCTGGCTAAGTATAAACCTCAGGGGGAGAAGGGTTTTGTTTTTGTTGATCTCATGCTGTAAGCTAACGTTGAGCTGGCTTTCAGAGTCCAGGCAAATATCCGTTTGGCCAGTCACCACCCAGAAAGTAATTCTCTCAGCACTGAAACAGCTCTGTATGTAAAGCATAAATCCCCTAGGAGAACTCTTTGCCCTCCTACACAGACACATACTGAAGCACACACACACCCCACTCTCTGTATCTA